CTCCATCTACCCTCACTAGTGGACACAAGCCAGCTCTACCCTCACTAGTGGACACAAGCCAGCTCGGGCACACCACTGCTACTAACAATCTATTTGTCACACTCTGTTGTCATCGTTCATTGATTTCCTAAAGCACAGATCATGCTTAATCCATATTTCTGTTGCTGGCGGTTAACACATGGCAGGTTATATGGGAGAGACTCACCAGAACACTGGTGAGTAAAACATTACATGATTTGAGTAATAATTGTATTCTATCCAGCACTTCCCACATTCTCTAAATCAGTGAACACTGAGGAAGTTGCTGTAGGAGCTCAATGGGTGGGAGCTGTGAGCCAGATGTGGAGCATCTGTGATGTGTGGGGGGTGTCCCCTGTGGTAGGAATCTCTCTTCACCCTAGCACTTGCCCCTCATCACAGTGATACTGCTGCCATGTCCCTGTCCCCTTAGAAGCTGAAGTCCACCTTGCGGGGATGCAGCACTCACTCCGCAAGCCGCTTGGCATGGATGCCTTTAAAACTTAAGTCAGCAAGTTAAGTTCAGAAAGGACACATGTTGAAAATAAGTCTTTAGGGGCGCCTGGGTGGCTCATTTGGTTAGGAGGCTGACTCCGGCTCAGGTCATGATCTCACAGTTCGTGGGTTTGAGCCCCGTGTCAGGCTCTTTGCTGACAGCTAGCTCAGAGCCTGGAGCCTGCTTTGGATTCTGTGTCTCCCTCCGTCTCTGACCTTACCCCGCCCACACTCTGTGTTTCTCTCAAAAGAAAAAACCTAAATAAACATTTTTAAAAATTTAAAGAAAAAGAAAGCAAGTCTTTAAAGATCCCCTTGGTCTATACATTAGTCCCTTCCACTTTGAGGAAAATTGAGTGTGCGGGATTGCCTAGATTCTGGATACAGTCGCATAATACCCCAGGCATAAAAGAAGATTAAAAGGTAGAAGTTGTAGAGAAAGAGATGCTCAAAATAGAAGTGATAATTGTTAGAATAGAAATGCAAAATAAAATTTTAGTTAAAATGACCAATTTTTTAAACATATAAAATGTTCCTTTCAGTTTTAAACTTTCAAGTTAAAATGTCATATTCTTTTTTTGAAGTTGATTTATTTATTTTGAGACAGAAAGAGAGGGAGGAGGGAGAGGCAGATAGAATCCCAAGCAGGCTCTGTGCTGATAGCACATTTTGGGACTCTGAATTTGGAAAATACCAAAAATCAGGAATAACAATACTAAATATACAAAGATTTTTTTATTTGAACTTAATTTTCCCTGCTATTCTCAGCCCCATTAAGTTCAATTACATATTAGCTCATCTATTTTATTTGAGTATTTTATTTTTACAATGTTTATTTTTTTATTTTGAGAGAGAACACATGCACAAGCAGAGGGCAGGGCAGAGAGCAAGAGAGAAAGAGAAAATCTGAAACAGGCTCACCATTGTGAGATCATGACCTGAGCTGAAATCAAGAGGCAGATAGATGCTTAAACGACCAAGCCACCCAGGTGCCCCTGTTTAAGTATTTTAAATTTTTGCGAGGTTATCAAAGTTTGGCATTAGTTTAATTTTGATTTTCAGTATTCGGAAAATATTGAAGGCAATCCCCAGGATAAAACTTCAAGAGATACTCATTTAATACGTCTCTTTATGCTGTTTATGATTAGGCTATTTTTTATTTTGGGGGGTAAATATGTTCTAACTTTATAAAAGGAGTGGTAAACTTTTTTCCTTATCTGTGTTATTGAGAAATTTAAAAAGAGACAGCATTCCTTCATTAAGAAAATTGAGTGGGGGGATGGATTAAATGGGTGATGGGCAATCAGGAGGGCACTTTTCAGGATGAGCACTGGGTGTCATGTGTAAGAGAGAAATCACTGGTTGCTCCTCCTGAAGTCAAGACTACACTGCATTGTTAAATAGCTTGAATATAAATAAAGAGAAAACAAAGAGAAAGAGAAGTGCTGTAACACGCTGTGAATCACCATTTGTTAGGAGCACGACTGTGAATGCATGAAATAGCATACCGGTTACATGCTCTCCGGTAAGTGATCTGAAATAAATAAGGAATGGTAAACAGGCTCTATCAGAACCTTCATTTTACATTTAAAATTCAGCATTTAGTTGAGCATTTTTCTGAGAATCCACTAATACTGAGCTAAAGAGGATGGCTCTGTATAATTTATTTCCCACCCTTTCCAACTTAGTGTCCTGCTTGTCTTTGGCCTGCTTATGGTTTTTATAAGGCCTTTATTGAAGTTTTTCTGGGAGATTATACTTCTACAGTTTTCACTTATTTTGTTTTCTGTTTTCCCTTTCTCATTTCTCTCAAATATGTACAATTTTATTTCTAAACAGTCCCTCTTGCTGCTTTTCTTACTGTGCTTCTAAGGATAGTTGCCACTTTTGGAGCTCACTCACCGTTTACATTCTTTGTGTCTGGTGGATGGATTTTGTGATCGGGCCATACCGTGTGTCGGAGAGGGTCAGAATCTTTTCCCTCACTTAACGCATCATGACCTCTGGGTGCACTGGGTCAAACAGACTGGAAATAGTTAATGTGGAGTGGAAATAGCAGTATTAGGCTGAAAGCAGAATGTAACTGAAAAAATACATATAACAAAAAGCCTTACGGAGACAAATTGCCATCCCACTTTTTTTCTTTTCTTAACTAAAGTTCTTTAGCAGCCTCTTGAACATAAATTATCTACAGTGCAGGCACAGAAACTTAGACTTTTCGATGGTCTCCAGAACAAGATTTACTGTCTAAAGAACGATAGTTACAAATCATAGATAATACATAATGTTAGAAACCCAGGATAAAGTTTGAGGCAGGGATCCAGCACACATCCTATCTTCTCCTCAAATGTTCTGGACAACAGAGTATAATTCAAGGAGCCTAGTGAAGGAGCATCCATGGTTTCACTTTATCATTAGAAAGACTGGATTGGAGAATGGTTTTCTCCACTCGTTCACGGGCAGAATAGCTGGCAACAGTAAGACTTGCCAATCAGCATGTTGGGAGAGGCCTACCATGGTGTGAATGCTGCAAGAGAAAGCCTGATACATGGGCTTCTTGAAGGCTTCAGGTCAGGGAGACAAAGTGAAGAAGCCAACTGGCTGGTACAGATCTTCTGAGGAACACTCATGGGTAGTGAGATGGGTGTGTGTGAACATCACTTCTGCCAAACTGACTCACTCAGGAGAAGAAAGTGGCCCATTAGGTGTTCATTTTCCTTGGGGATGAGAGAAAAGCAGAGGTTTTTTCCTCCAGGCAGTTCAAACTGGTGTGTGTTTTGATGTGAGTTTTCTTTCTTATAGAAATATTAGTGTGGTGATTCATTGTTTGACTGTCATCAAACTATGCAAAAGATTCCAGATCACATTCTTTAAAACCCTCTAAGAGAAAAAGGAGAAATCTTTCCTTCCAGAACGGTCAAAAAGCTTGTCCTTATCTCAGATTAAAAGACGAAAACTTGGGGCGCCTGGGTGGCTTAGTCGGTTAAGCGTCCGACTTTCGCTTAGGTCACAATCTCGCGGTTCGTGGGTTCGAGCCCCGTGTCGGGCTCTGTGCTGACTGCCAGCTTGGAGCCTGGAGCCTGTTTCAGTCTGTGACTCCCTCTCTCTCTCACCCTCCCCTGCTCACGCTGTCTCTCTCTCTCTCTCTCTAGAAATAAATTAAAAAAAAAAAAAAAAAAGACGAAAACTTACACCAGTGATCACCCAAGACCTGCAGTCTCTAAACAAGTTAAACTGTTCATTTGGATGAGGAACCTTCTGATGTTATCCAAGAAGACTGTTGTTGTATTTCTGTTCATGGCAGCAGAACTAGAAAAACAATCTTCTTGGGTTAACATTTTCTATAAAGGCCCATATAATAGATAAAATGGTACCTCAGCCCCTTTACCTTGGATTATAAAAATCTTATGAGAGATGTTTTCCTGTGATTTGCACTTCTCCAAACATGCTTGTGGAATTTAACAACAACAACAACAACTAGATTCACTAAAGACCATATTAGTATTATTTTAAAACATAATAAAAGTATTTATAGTAATAATAACCTAGGCAGATTGATTTTTTTTTTTCATTTGGAAAATAGAATAAGTGGTTAAAGTTTCTCAGACAGGCCTATATGTAACTTTTTTACGTAAGTACTAAAATACAAACCATGTGCCACCATCTCTCATTAAATCCAATTCAGTAGTTTTCCATTTTTCCCTCTAGAACATGGGAACCAACAGAAGGTCAAAGAGTATCAGGTGCTTAAACAAATGTTTTATGGCCATTAAATAACAAACATGATGCTTCAGGGAACTCAGGGAGTTGAAACTTCCTGGTATGATCACTTCAAGGGAGAACTTTCAAAAGGACAGTTTCCTAAAGTAGTCTTCCCAGCATGGAGTTCCAGAAATGAGTAGAAAATCCTAGTGACTCACTTGATTCTTCCTGCCAATACATGCTCTCTCTGTATAAACACAAGAGAAGGGAACTCAATTAGAAGAGAAGGGTAGGAACCTAACCTGTCAGCTCCGTGATTTTTTCAGCCTTTTACCCACCTCCCCTTGGAAATCTCAAAAGTTGCTCTTCACATTTTGGGGACCTCTCAAGAGCCACATCCAAGTATTAATGGCCAAATGTATAAGTTTTAAAAACTAATTCACAGAGGGCACGTGGGTAGCTCAATTAAGTGTCTGACTTTTAATTTTTGGCTCAGGTCATGCTCTCACCATCCATGAGTTCAAGCTCCACATCAGGCTCTGTGCTGGCAGTGTGGAGCCTGCTTGAGATTGTGTTTCTCTCCTTCTCTCTGCCTCTTCTCCCTCTCAAAAATAAATAAATAAGCTTACAAAGATAAAGTAAAATAAAATTAATTCACAGATAAATCCATGTGGTTGGGGGAGGGATGGCTTGGCTTACTATAGTTGGTTATATATTTAAATTTGTAAGATAATTACAATGAGGTAAAGGCCACTGACTACTTAATTCTCTGTTTTAAAATACAGGCGCAACAGCCGCAGCCCGGAAGGAGGTGATAAGGAACAAGATCCGAGCAATAGGCAAAATGGCCCGAGTGTTCTCAGTTCTCAGGTGGGATCATTGTACCTGTATTTCTGTTTTGAATGTGCTCATGTGTCACTTCATAAGCATTCTGATACTTTAACCTGATAACTTAAATATTTTACTAGAAAATATTTACTTTTTCTTAGGTTTTTTTTCTTTTAAATGGAATTGTTCATTCCTTACTCTCTTAGTCACACTGAAGTATACTAAATTATTTCTATAGAGAAAGCTGCTAACTGGACTACTTCCTGTTTTATCATCCTGTTTGCTGCTGGACTTTAAAACACAATAGGTTGAACTTGTAGTGACATAGGAAACCTGTTATAATTCATTTTAGTTTTCATTCTGGCTCTGTGGTAAAAGATGAATTTATCGGGTACATTTCAGTAGATTTCTGGGAAATGAATGTTTACCATCGAGCTGGTTCATGTGAACATATGTTATTCTAATAAATCATGGAAAGAAAAAACAGCTATTTAATGTTAAAATTCACCTGTAGTAGTTATTTTTTAAATAGATCATGAATCATGTTATTCTTAATCCTGCATTAGAAAACAAGTATTTCCCTAGAGAGAATTAACTCCACTTTTCTTAAATTTAAATTCTGTTATCTACTGTTAGGTAAAACAAAGTAACTTACACTTCTCTTCAAAAAAATTGCTGTGAAATATGACATGATTATACGTGAGGAGTATATGGTCAATTCGCAGTTACTCACTTATAAGGATAAATAGGAATACCTTGAGAAATAGTCCATTTCCATCTTATATGGTTCATAACCTAATTTTTGCCAAATTTTGTCTCACTTCTTCCTCCTAGAGTAGCTACATGGGCCCTTTTGATTTCTCCTCTGGCTATTTCTAGTGTACTCCTGATAGAGTCACTAAAGGATAACTAAACAGCTCGATGCCAATAGCAGGGAGCCATGAGAAAGATGAAAAGCAGTATCAGCCTTTCTTAAAACACCAAATCAAAGTCAACAATAGCTCTGCGTCAGCCAGCCAAATCCTGAAAAGTCCTGTTAAAGCTGAAAATCGAGTATCGTTGCTCCTCACAGCCTAACAAATGAGGCTGCCTCTGCTCTAATGCTTTCTATCCCTGACAGAATTATCAGGACTCATTCATTCAGTCATAAGTACGTTAAAACTTAAAGCACTGATCAGGCACCTTGAAGGAAAAAAAACAATACAGGGGGATAGCAAGTGGGAGATGAGGCACTGCTTTCAGTATGTGGCCAACAAAGAACTTTCTGAATAGTAGCATTTGAGTGGTAAGTGGGGGGTGACCTTCATGAAGATACGGAAGTAAAGATGTTTAAGGCAAAAGTGCAAAGATTCTTAGATAGAAACCAGCACTTTGAAGGACCAGCAAGGAGATCTATGTGGCTGGAAAAGTGCCCGCTGGGGGCAAGAGACCGTGTGACGGTCATAAGCTCAACTACTACTTCTTTTTTATCAATTCCTTGTTTATTATGCCTCAGATTTACAAAGAAACATTATTTTATTTTTATTACCTGAAGTCTCTGTGAGGAGAAGTAAACAGCTCCAAAAGTTCCAAGTGAAAGTATATTTCACTTGGAGAAGCCTTTCTTAATATAAAAATTTGGTTTCCCTCTCTGTTAGTCTTCAAACCACATGAAAGTGGGAGGGGCCATGCTGGAGAATCATAGGTACATCTTAAAACTGCAAGGCCCTCCAGCCACTGCCAGTGGATGCATAAACTCTAATTATTCTCATCTGAGAAATGATCCATTTGCACCCAGTAATGATCAGTGACTTGACTAAGATAGCACACATTGACAGAAAATATAAACAAGGTTTATTTTATGGTTTTCCTATATTAAACGCATCTATACTAAATCTGCAGAATGCAAGGGAGGTCATAGCCCGAGAAAGCTTAGTAAATAATATTGAGTATTAAATGTGTACAATATACTGAGTTAGGCACACCAAATACCAAATCGGAATGACAGACATGTTGACAACAAACTTACATACGACAATGACACGTGTTCTAAATACATGAAGAGATGCTCTGCTATGGAAGAGAACGGGGGGCTCCAGGGAGCTCTTCTGTTCCCTGAAAAAAAAAATGTTCATGAAGAGGCTGACAGTGAAGGAGTACCAGGAAGGAGAGGCTGGATTCCATTAGGTGGTGAATTGTGGTAAAGGCATGCCTGGAGGCTGAGAAGTCATCAAGAACATAAGTCACGTGTTCCTAAGAGCAACATTTTATGGGCACTTGCTAAGGGCCAGGTGCCATGGCTCATGGCGCTTGCATGTGACAGTAATCCACATGGCAAATTTGCAAGCGAGGCAAGGTGTCCAAACTCAGTTAGTGAGCAGTGCTACTGAGTGTCTGACTTGAACAATATGGTCAGTGAATTCTAAGTATTCAAAAGAGCTGGGTGGTAAGACATGAAGGTAGGTGAGGAATCTAGTGAAAAGTGGACCTGAAAATGTATTTAAGTCCAGATCCTCGACACAACCTTGAATAGCATGATAAAGTATTTAATATTCTGTGTGGAAGCAGTGAGGGTCTGGTGGTATAAGTTTTCAGAGGATGAGAGGCATGCTCTGACCCTTGTTTAGGTATTACATGTTAATGGCAGTGTGAAGACTGGTTAACATGATGACTAATTGATGTCACGGAGGACATTTTGGAAGCTATTGAAATAATCCGAGCAAATTAAGCCATAGGAAGAAAGATACAAAGGAAGAGACAAACTAAAAGGAATTTGTGAAGCTCAAAGTTTTAACATGTAATGAATGAATGAGAATGGTGGTACAAGAGGCCTGATTTTGAATATGAATGCAAAGAAAAAGAAAGTTCATTTCTCTTTTTAATTTTTTAAATGTTGATTTATTGAGAGAGAGAGTGAGCGCATGCACACACAAGCAGAGAGGGAAAAAAGGAGGGAGAAAGATAATCTCAAGCAGGCTTCATGCTGTCAGCGTAGCACCTGACATGGAGCTCAATCTCAGGATATATTAGATCGTGACCAGAGCAAAAATCAAGAGTCTGACACTCACCCAGCTGAGCCACCCAGGTGCTCCAGTATGTTCATTTATGTAGAGATACTCCCAATTTCCAAATCCATATATTAGCATTTAAGATATTTCTTCTTTATGTGACCTCTATTCATTTGACAGCAGAAGCTTGAAAAGGTTGCAATACCTGTATGAGGGTAAACAATGATTTGTAAACATCTCAAACCTCGTATTTCTAAGCACACTGCAGTAAAGGATATAGAAATCTAAAACGTGGATAACACTGCCATTCTTCATTCTGTCTTCCTTTTACTCATTCTTTTCATAAATGTTTTTTTGAATGTGGACTATATACTGTGCTATTCTGGTCTAGATACTTAAAAAAAAAAAAACAAGAGAAAATAAACTGTATAGTTTTTCAGGGGTGATATGTGCTTTAATAAAATAAAATTAAGGAAAGGTAGGGACAATAGAAGGTGAATATTATCTTAAGTAGCTTCTAAAGGAAATCCTCACTTAGAGGGTGATGATTGAGCAGAGATTCGAAGGCAAGGAGGTAGTGAACCTTGCAGATACTGGGGGAATTTCTTTTGGCGGTGATGAAAATATTTTAAAATTGCTTATGGTGATTGTTTCACAACTCTGCGAATACACTAAAAACAATTGATTACATCACATGCTTTAAATGGATGAATAATGTGGGATGTTAATTATACTCAATAAAGCTGTCTTAAAAGAGAAGTGGCAAGATGCTGGCAATACAGTGAGCCCCCAAAGTTGGCTGATTGAGTGGAGATGCAGGGTGGTAGATAGAGAGAGGATAGGAGTGAAGGGGCAATGTGTTAAGCTTAACTAAAAGATGAAGTTGAAGAAAGCCTGCCGAAGTAGCAGTTTTGGGGAATAATGTTTTGAATTCTGTTGGGGGGAGGGGAGGGTACCTGGGTGGTTTGGTCAGTTGAGCATCTGATTCTTGATTTTGGCTCAGATCATGATCTTACAGTTCCTGGGATGGAGCCCCACATAGGACTCTGAGCTGCTTTGGATTCTCTCTTCCTCTCTCTCTGCCCCTCCCCTGCTTGCTCGCTCTCTCTCTCTCAAAATAAACGTAAAAAAAAAAACAGAAGTCTGTTTGGGTCATGTTAGACATCTTCATAAAAATGTGGCATTGGTAGTTATACATATTGTAAACATTATGCCTATATATGTAAGTATATATATATATTATAACATTTTTTTCTGATTATGTAGGATTTCTTCTATGTGGAAAGATATGAGCTTATTCCCATTTCATGGTTATTTAATCATTATGATTTATTAATAAATCAAAGTGAATAATAGTGCTGTGACTAATAATATAATTGAAATGATGATGTACATAAGACTGTAAAACAGTTGTCACAATGAGTAATACAATGTTATATTAGCAAATCAGTGGGGAAAGAGACTGTTGAACAGAAATGGTGAGAAACGTTACCAGTTGCTTCACTGTCTGGTTGTCATTATTTGTGCTTATGATATGATGTCAAAATTACTTAATAGCCCCTGAATGTAACTGCTCGTGCCCTAATCCATAAACCATGGAGTTTTTAAAATCTCTCATATTTACTCTTTGGTCTTCTCTCTCAAGAAAAGTCAGTCCCACTTAACTTCTGCTGAGCCTTGGCTGGAAAATTTACCTCCAAACTCTCCATAGCTCATTTTTAACATATTTACAGTATCAACAAAGGGTGCCCAGCAAACACTCTGTATCCTGACACCTGCTTACAAAATGTAAATTTAGGACTCAGAAAAGGTTGAACCTGCACGAGCGTGTAATTATAAACTCTATCAGAGCAACTATTCATTGGCATAACATTACTTTTATATGATTGTATAAAAATATACTATGTTTAGGAGCTCCTGAGTGGCTCAGTCAGTTAAGCGTCTGACTCTTGACAGTGGCTCATGTCATCATCTCACCATCCGTCCGTGAGTTCAAGCGCCACCTCAGGTTCTGTGCTGACAACATGGAGCCTACTTGGAATTCTGTCTCCCTCTCCCTCTGCCTTTCCCCTGCTTGCTCTCTCTCTCAAAAAGAAACATTTAAAAATACATATATACTATGTTTTAAGGAAAATAAAAATCCAGAGAGCCTAGATTTGAGTTCTACTATGCATCTCCTGCCCCTCTGCATGTCTTTTCTTCCTTTTGAAAAGAAAACAAAAGCTAATGTCTTCTCTCCCCTTGTCCCTTTCCAGAGAAGAGAGTGAGAGCGTGCTAACACTGAAAGGCTTGACTCCCACCGGCATGCTCCCCAGCGGAGTGCTTTCTGGAGGGAAGCAGACACTGCAAAGCGGTAAGCAGACGCGTTGGTATCGGGTAGGACTGTGTGCCCGGGCATCTCTGTCCGCGGTGTTTTTAGCCTGATTCGTTCCTCCATTTAAGCTCGGCCTTGGTCTTCAGTTCTTCTCAGCGGGAAGAAGGGCTGAAACCCCACATCAGTTTGACCAGTCGTGTCCGACAGAATAGCTTCCCTCTTCACAGGAATGCGGGTTCCTCCGCTGCCCACCATCCACCCACGTACACCCTAACCGCATAGTCAGCCCCCACCTGGAGATGACTCACTTTGGTTGTCTACACGCCTGATAGCGTGGACAGCTTGGAGCCGTTACGTTGCTAAAAAGGATTTTTTTATGACGCTTTTGCTAAATGTTCTGGTTAGCTGTCTGATTGAAAAAAATAAACACTCACATAAATACACATCCGTTATGGTCTAGATTCTAGTGGAGAATGGAAGAACATTTAAAAGGGCGATTTCGTCACCTGCTTGAATAGATATTGGGAGTCGTAAGTGTCTGTTCTCTGATTTCTCCATCCAGAACTTAAGAGACTGAGTAGAACCACAGTTTATTTTTGGAAGAGAATGAAAACATTTCCTTTAAGATAGTTTTTTTTTAATTAAAATGTTTGCTGTCCAGTAGACATTTTTGTGATGATGGAAATTCTGTATCTGTGCAGGGGCCACTGGTAACATGGCTATCAGGCAGTTCAAACATAGCTAGTCCAAACCAAGAAACTGAAACAGATTTTTTAAACTTTAGCTAATTTTTATTAATTTGCTTTCAATAGCCGTATGTGACTAGTGGCCACCAAATCAGACAGCACAGTTGATATATTTTCTTTTCCGTTTGTTAATTTTGTCTTGCTATTTTAACTAATGCTACCTTTAATTAGAGTCCAATTTTAATGATACTTTATGAAAATTTACTATTAGATTAGACTTTAAATCAATGAATAAAAGTCAATAAAACAGAAATATGCTATAACATTTTAAAAACTAATCTCAGCCTCTTGCTTAATTTTCCATATCTTTTCCTGAATCTTCTTTTTGTGTGTGTGTGCTTTGTTTTTTTTTGTTTGTTTTTTTTTTTGTTTTTTTTTTCTACCTCTATCCCTTAGTGTAGAAGATGAAAGTATTCTTATGGTTGGTTACTTGATTTAGGCACACCTTCTACATAGAGTCATGTTCAACATCACTGTAATTTTATTTTCATATGAATTTATTCCAAAATCAACATCTTAGTTCCCACAAAAGGAACAAATTTGTAAATGAAGATAGGAAAATACATCGAAGTACATTTCCTCTTGATTTATATCTAAAGATAATTTTAATGACTTAAAAAAAAAACTTCTCCCACCAAAACAAACATGCTTTTTAACAAATGAACATAAATGAATCATTTATATGCATAAAACACAGCTACCTAATTGACTGAAATCTGCTTAGTTTCTGATAAGCACATTTTAAGGCACAGCAGGTGTATTGTCAGAAACTGTGGGCCACATTTGCTTTGAAAGGAAACACTTAATAATGGGCAGTGCATATTTCTGATATGTTGGTGCTGGTGTGGTTCCAGATTTTTTGCTTTACGTTTGAACTTCAGTTACTTAAGTTCTTAGAATTCTTTGTTTTGTTTCTAGATTTTTCACTTGTATGTTTACTTAGATTATTCAGTTTCCTTTTCTGTTACGTTCTGTTAAATCCATTGGTGTGAGTTGTTCTGTGTGGAGCTCTCACACACACAAACGCATACACATAGACTAGACCCAAGGGTTGGAACCCCGTTAGTCCTGAGAACTTGAAAACTCAGTATGGATTTTAAAGCACATACATTAAAATGATTTCAGAATCCACTGTTGGGATTTCAAATTGTCAAAAAGAAGAAACTGCTTAAAGCTTTACTGTTTAGCTTTTCTCCATGGTGGCAAACATTTTACATTTTCACCTTAAGGGATCAGAAGGCACTGTAAGGAAATTATAGTGCTCGTTTGGCGGTTGCTCTAGTCTTGCAACTTTAAATTATAAGAGATATGCAAATTAAAGTCAAGAGGTAGAATTTTAATATTAAACATTTTGGAGTTACCAGAGAAGTTTTGCATCTTAGCACTTAATTAGGGAAATATCAGCTAGCCTTAATAACATGGAAAGGCTCATACACCTGGACTAGTGAGAATACAGATGCTAACCTTATTACAAAAATTGCTGATAAAGCAATGGGCTTTTAGCCTCTGAAATTTGCTGAGGTTTTAGTATTTAGACTGCCTCTTCTTTAAAATGCTGATAGAATTCTTACTGCAACTGACATGTTACCACTTGATTATAGCATTTCAGGAATTTCATTTCCAAAGATGGTATTCCAGTAAAGAAAACTTATTTTCAGTTGGGTAGCCTGGCAAAGGGACCCTGGACTCTATACTTCATTGCCTCCATTTCTCCTTCTCCCTCACTGCTCCAGACACACTTGGTGTTGGTCTTTGAAGAGTTAGATACACTATCAAGTCAGATGCATTGATTTGATTCTTCCTCTAAATTCACACACACACACAGACACCCACAGACACACACTCTACCTTTGCACCACACTAGGAATCGCACCACTTAATACTGAATAGTGTGAATTACGCCACCAATGTTATGACACTGTTTCGAGGTCTGCTATTATGTCTGGCATTTTAAAATCTTAGATCACCAGGGATAGCAGTGGTTTTATTGTCCTTTCTGTGTCAGATGTACATGTTAGAGTAACCTCGTCCCTTATCGATTCCATCTAAATAAAACTGTCCTGTGTTCCTCAAGGGTTCATCATTTTGTCATTTATTAAACAAAACTCAGTTCACTCAGATAGGTGTATCCAGCTCATAAAATAAGCTCACTTTTGTTGTGGTTTTTCTTTCTTTATACCGTTTCTGTTTTATTGTCTGTGCCAGAATCCAGCACTTACAGGAGCATTAATACTCTGAGCTCCCTTGAACGTCACTGATTTGTTCTTAGAATTAAAAATCCTCTGCTCATTTTTCTCATTCATTTTGCACCCCCTTTCTTCTCTTCAGCTACTGTTGAGGCTATTGAGGCTGATGAAGGTAAATTGGCCAGTCCCCTTTCTGTTGTATCTGCAACAGATAAGGGCTCTGCTGGGTGTATTCATTTTTTTTATTATTTTATTATTTTATTTTTTGCTGTAGCTTGTACAGAGTGTGTGGGTGTTGGGCTAACAGTTGTGGCTCAGTATTAACCAACATGTTCTTGCTTTAAAGGGGAAAATGTCCTTTTATGGCTTGTTTGTTTGTTTATTTTTTCCCTTAAAGCTATGTTTGACTTCGTATACAACGAACCTAGTATAATCACAGAAAACCAAAGGATTATATATCTTGAACGATGTGGGGTGGGGGTTGTAGCTTCTGTTTTGACAACTATCGTATAAAATAATATTCTTTGAGTTGAACCATGTCCCTCCCTCAAATCATTTTCAGTCAGCACTGAAAAAGGAGAGAATAATAGCTTTATTAATTCTAGTCTTCAGAAGTTTCTAGCAAAAAAAAAAAAAAGTGTTCATTTGAATAGTGCTTTGTTGTAGTTCAACATAATTTATGTCTCTAAGAAATATTCCAGCACGAGACAGTCGTGCATGAGATAAAGAGTTCTGAGAGTCTTACAAATTTTGACCTACTGGTATTTGTAGGACAGTTAGCACCAGCAAGATGCTATAAAGAGTTCAGAGCTACCCAGTGGCTGTGGCAATGGCCATTACAAGAACAGTGACAGTCCAGTCCTCACTCAGTGGACTGTTCTCTGTCTGCTTTGAGTCAGGCACTGCGCTAGGTGCCGTCGGGGAAATCCAGAACTGTATATACGTCACCCACTGTGCCCTAGCACTACTCAAGGACTACAGCATTGACCCTCTAGAAACTACTTTTGAATCAAGGGCTTAAAAAATACATAGGTATGAGAGAACTGTGTATCAGAATACTGTCTAATATTATCCCCACCATATCCTCTGGAAATTTTTTTAAAAAGAATAATTTGAAGTTCCCCTTTAAAACAAAATTCTTCAGTTGTATTTTGTTCTTGCAAGATCACGTTTTATTTTTCCCAAAATTGTGTGTGTATGGTCCTTTGATAATGATGTGAAAAGTGCCACTTTAGACTGTGGAATTTGCATATGATTTGGATACAGTAGGAGAAATGACAGCACTGTAAGAGAAAATACAACTGCTTCCTAAATAGCAGTGAATCGACTGCTATTTATGTGGGAATTCTCTATTCCTCTTGGCAAATTCTAATCTGCAGTGTGCATTCTTGTGGATAGTTTGGCTGTTTTCTGTGGTTTCTGTGACTCTGTGTCGTGTTAAGTATACTACCAATGTAAATTGCTAATACCCATTGTCTGACCAGCAACTACAGCAGAGCACATTCTTCGGTACCAGGGTAGACAGTTTGATCAAAGATGGAGCCCCATTCCGGACACATCCATCGTTCTAGCTAGATTCTCAATGTCTACGCTCTCACCCTATTGGCTTTTCAAACCTAGAGCTTCCTCGTTTGCCATTGAAATTAGTAAGATCGCTTCACAAATTATCACGTTAACAAACTTTTTATTTATTCATTACGATGAAATGATATTCACAGTGGTTTAGAAAACGAATAGAATACCTCTGTGCCACTATTCTGTCCCTCAAAATAATTGCATTTTCAGGGTGGGTGCTCATTAGAAGCCTCTATTATTTTGCAATTTATTATCGATTTAGAGAAGAATTAAGAAGCTTTGCTTTGGGCCTTGGTCTTTCCCCATTTCCCCATCTTCTTCCTCTCATAACTGACTAATCACCATTTTGCTAACCTTTAAAGTGCAGAGGGGTGATACACTGTTTCTTGTCATGTAATGAGTTTGGAAGCAACTGTGTATATCTTTGAAGAATCTCATCATACTAATAAAAGGCACTGCACCTTTGGGTAGAAATGGCGGGCAAAGTTTCAACTTGAAACTGCTTTCCTTCCCCCCCCTCCCCTCAAATAAGGTGGGGAGGATAAAGGTACCATGAGATTGTCCTTGATCAGCTATGAAGATACAGCCCAATTCAGCACTGGTGATTGGCCCTTCAATATCTGGCTTGCCCATCGCAGGAAGTAAAGCAAACCGATGTCATTGGTTGCCCAATTATGTACTTTATTTTTAACTCACTGGTTGGTTTGTGCACCTGCTGTTGAAATCCTTAAGTTTCTTGCACAAATGCCTTGTCTATGTTGGGAGTACACTAAGGGTTAATGAAAAAAGTCAAATATCCACACTCCCTCTTGAGAATCCACATTTTCACTGAAAAGGGCCCAAACCAATCCTGTCCTTTTTGCTAAAAGTTCTGAAAGGCATTTTCTCCTTATTCTTGAACCGTTAACTTTACTTACATCTATATTGATCTACTAAGAAAGGGTTTTTCTTTGATTTAGGCAGTAATGGATATCAGGTGAACATCAGTTTGACCTGTTTTGCTGCTGAAGGGCAGATGACGTTTTTCTACTTCGTCCTCATGATTTTTCTGAGTTTCTCTTACTTTATCACCCACTTGACCATGCTTCCAAAGTTGAGTTGGAGAAGCAGGAGTTTATAATTTCTCTTTTTTCCTCATTGCCACCATTGAGTTGTTTGCCAAGAAGGTCTTTCTGGGATTCTGAGATGGCAAAGTTAATTACTCTTGTAGCCTCTTACCTTCCGCTCTAAAGGCCTCTACTAGACTTTGAGACCTAGCTCGCCTGACTCTACTGCATTTGCCATGACTAGCACAGTGGAATAGCAAAAGTAAGGCTGTGTTAACGGTCTGTCTAGGTTAGGGTGTTTGATACAATAATCATTTTAATGACGTGGCCAGCCGATGCTCAATCTAGATCCCTGTCCCTGGTAGCAACTTTCTTCTTTACATATCCACTTCGCATTTCGTTGATCTAAACGCTCACGAAGACCAGAGAAATGTTTACCTTTTACTAACTTGAAGAGGACATTTTGGTTGGCAAGAGACATTGGCTGTTTTCAAACCTTTTGGTTATCTTCGGGTATGGTAAGGAGTCTGTTGTGTTGTGTTCAGGTCCCGTCATTTTGTTCTCTACTAAAGGATTCCCCTCACTCACTGCGAAATCTCTAACCTCACCTGATGCAAAGCTGTGCCCTTTGCTTTCCTCCGGCTAACCTCTAACTTTTCTTTTTTTTTTTTTTTTTAATGATTTTCTGTTTAGCCATCAAAGGATTTTCACCACAACATAAGATCACTAGCTTCGAGGAGGCCAAGGGCTTAGACCGAATTAATGAGAGGATGCCACCCCGCAGAGACGCCATGCCCTCTGACGCCAACCTTAACTCCATCAACAAGGCTCTCGCCTCAGAGACTAACGGCACGGACAGCAATGGCAGTAATAGCAGCAATATCCAGTGACCACTTCCTGTTCACTTTCTTTTTTTTTTTTTTTTTTGAGCTGCAGGGCATGATGGGATTGCTGCCTATCAGCAGTTGGGTGTTCTTGCCTCTGACGGTAGCTTATTTGCTCTGGGGGCCAGGAATTGGATTCAGTTTACACTATCATTAAAAAAAGAGGGAGAGAGATAATAAACTATATTTTGGTAGAGGTGGTGATTAAACACCTCTTTGGGGTATGCCTTTTAAAAATGCTTATAGGAAAAAAATTTAAAAAGAAAGCTAACGCTAGTATATACTGCAATGTTAGGGGAATGAACATGTTTTCCTACTGCATTGGGGACTTCTAGATAGGTTAATGAAAGGTCTTTTATTATGTTACTGGACACGAAAACTTTGTCTAATTTCTTACTCTATTGTACGTTTACAGTTGCAGCACTAAAAATGGATGACATCAAACATTTTTAACAAAATGATGTACAAACTAAATAAGGACTATTTATTGATAATGTTTTGCTACTCTTGTCAGACAATGGCTATAAAATGAATTAGGCAGTCTTAAAAAAAAAACAGAAAAAGAAAAAAAAAAGAATGTTGCAAATTTGTTAAAATGCCAAAAAGGACAGTTTAATTTTGTACAGATTATGCTTACCTCAGGTTTCTTTAGTGTGCTTGAATGCTCTTCTTTCCATATAACACTTATCTTATTAATTTAGCAATGAATATCATTTCTTTTCTTTTAAGTTTTAAAAAAACTGGAATAATTACATCTATCTTTTTTTGCTGTTTATATTTAGGGTTTTTTTTTTTGTTGATAAATCAAGTCTTGGTTGTGGCTTGCCGAATTAAATATTTATGAGTGGTGCATTTTTAAGTATAGTGAACAAGACACCATATTAAGTACAGTGATAAAGCATCTATATTCTGTAAAAAAAAAAAAATCTGCCTATGCATGTTTTTTAAGAAAAAAAAAAAATGGCTGTATCGGCCTGTATGGGACTGTAATGCGCTTAGTGGTCTGACATATACTGGAAATGTATGTATACTGGCGTACTTTATATTCTCTAAAATGCTTAATGCCTTTGAAATTTTGTAATCAAAAAAGCTTTGGAAAAATCTAAAGGGGAGAGTATTCTTAAAAGTTTTTAACATAAGCTTGTCAATGCACATATAGATGGTTAGCATGTTTAGCAACCCTTGTGAAATTTAAATAAGTTTGTAGTTACATGTGAAACTCTAAATGCATGGTAACTTAATGTCATCACGGTTTAGTTCTTTCGTTCTGTTCTGTCATGTGCCACAAAATATGTACTTTTTTCACTTTTTTCCCTTTGTATATCAGTTACGGGTTACAACTGGTTCATTCTGAAAACAACAAGAGTCCATTCATATTTTTTAACAATTGTATAAGTGCCCAAGTAATTCACTACAGCCTAAAGCCTTGCCTTTGTAATTTGACTTCTGAAATGTTGGCAATCAAAGCATGCACTTGTAACAATGACAAAGACAAAGCATTTTATATTACTACTCAATAAAATGTGCATGAACTTAAAGAACTCTCATCCTTTCACTGAGTCTGCTGAAGGGAGTCAAGTTCACAACCACCATGCTGTCTTCTAGGTGCTGGGCCCACACCATGCATCACAGATGTACTCCCGCAGGCCACTCTGAGGGCTTGGTGATCTCAGGTGTGGCGCCTACTTCCGCTGTAAGATCTTGGTGGATTGTGTCTCAAATCAGACAAGAGAAATGTACTTAAAAGAGCAAATGCCATCTTCTGGCTCCCTTGAGTGTGGGAGCCAGTCAAGAAACCAGAGCATCCCTTTTCCTTAAAAAACAAAAATTGTTATCAGGTTGGTTCAGTTGTATTGGATGCCCTATCCGCTAAAGCAAAAAGAACTAAGTGCATTTTTCATCACAGAAGAGAATTGCATTTGTATGGATATGAAATTTGTATACCGGCGCTTCGGCTAATATCTAATCACCCGAAGATTTAAGATACACCAGATTCCAGTTTGTTTCTAACATTGTTCATTTTCAGTGCACTTTGTTTTATGTAATAAAGTATGCCTGTGACATTAAATAATTAAGAATATGGCAATTAGTGACAAAGATGTTCTAGATATATTCTCTGACAAAGACTATCCCAAATTCACTTTAATGACTTCAAACATGTTTTCCTATGGATATATTTCCATCCTTAAAAAATGACATCCAAGGAAAATACTTAGATGCAGCCTATTAGAACGATGTGAAAGAAATGGTAATTCTGATACTGAGGTGTTTATTTTCTTTCTTATAACTGCAGAGAAAAAATCCTGACCCAAAAAAAAAAAAAAAAAGAAAAAAAAATTCATCTGGGGGGATTCCTTTCTTTTACAATTGTGCTGAGGCAACTATGGCATATAGAAATAAACATTTGACATTAAAATAAGCAGTTGATGTGAGTATTGCTTGGTCTTTCTGGTCAGTAGTTAGGAAAGTAACGCTGTATATTTTTGCAGAATAGCTCAGTCTACCAAAGAAACCAGTGTAGAACTGAAGTTATTTCCCCAAAAGGGATACCACTACCAGATCATCAGTGATTAGAGCTTTCTCCTTTACTTTTGGAGAAACTGTTGGTTGAGTTATGTATGCCACCGGACCTTTGGCTGTACATACACACATACGTGCGCGTGTGCAAACACACACACACACACACACACACAGAAACAACCTCCTGTCCCCTCCACCCACGCCTAAGGTGACTTACTTCAAGAGGTTCAAACTCAGTGCTGACTGGTCATCTAGCTTTTTAAGGAGCAGGAGTTAGATTTGACTGACTCCAGGTTGGCAATATTTCTTATCCAAAGTATTCTCTACTTTTAGTCTTTTAAAATATTTTTGAAGAAAGAAAACTCTTCGGAGACTAAGAGGGGATAATGAGGGGAACAAAGCGGTGGGGTGAGGAACATCCCTGTATATGGAAAGTGGCATGCCTTAGGGTAGAGTATCAAGGTGGAACTATCTTCTATCAACAGCCCAGAAAATGTCATGGTGACGCTAAAGTCCCCAGAGTGATCTTGTCCTGAAACATTTCTTTCTCCCCCACCTCCTCACCTTCATGTGAAATAATAAACTTTAGTACCCATCCAACCTTCTGCCTTGAAACCAGGGCCCTGATGTGAAGCCAGCACCACAGGAGGGACAGTGGGAATGGCCTTCCTAAAATGTCTCCCACTTTTCCTTGACTACTTCATACCTGACTCACCGGCTTCCTCTTGTCACACTTAGTTAAGAAGCAGAGACCTTTCAGTTTTCCCTGCCTGACTGCCTGCATTTCTTCAAACTTGGAGGGCCCCTTGAGTTCAACAAATCTGAGCTCCCTGAACTAAAGATATGACCATTTCCATTTGTCTGTGGCTTTGCACTTTATTCATTCAACAAACATCGAGTCTCTACTATGTTCTCTCACTATTCTTCTAGATTCGTATTTTACACACACACACACACACACACACACACACACAAAAGGTGGCAATCAGGACAACATATGTTAAATGTTAGTATTCCACCAAATAGTATGTCAGTGTCTGGCTTAACATGCTTTTTAATGCCATTTTGACTCTGTTTCCTGGATATTCCTTCCTGATATATTTTATTGATAATATTAACAAGAAAAGCCTCTGGTGAGGCCCTTTCATGATAAATTCACTTTTCTATAAATGCATATGTAGCAATGGGAGGCAAGAAGTAGGGAAAGAAACCCTGTATCTATTTCTGGTGGTCACATTTTCAAGAGGCAACATTAACATATTGGAATGCATGTATGTAGGAGAGTGGAGACCCAAACAGGGGAGAGGGTCTGCTTTAAACAAAGATTAAGGAAACCTAGAACGTGAACAGAAGTTGACATGATCGCTATACTATTGGGTTGGTTATTCCAAAAGACCTTGCTTAGATCAGAAAAACGCCTACTTGTCACAAAGTACAAGTTGCTAATGAGTGAGGCTGCTTTCGCAGAAAGTAAACTACCGGAGAATGTGGGTGCCTCCCCTTCACTGGAAATGTTCATACCTAGACTGACTCGATCCAGCACCACAAGCATCTTCTGCACAATGCTGGACGGAAGAAGCTATATTGGATATACTTGAAGGAGCTGTTTTCAAAGATAATATCAAAGTGACCCGTCCACAGTAGGATTCTAAATCCCATTCAATTATTCAGTCTCGTAAAAGTATAGATCTTTGATTCGCAACCCCATTCCCTAGAACTCTGTGTTTACAGGAACTCTGCCATGGGGCTGAGCTTCCCGCATCAGCCAAAGCAGCCTTTTTCTCTCTTTTGCACATCATGCTTCTCTGTGAGATGTCAGCTGAGAAGCGTCCCACTAGATTAGCAAAGCACCAAACTGACTGTGGTAGAATATTGGCTCTGAACAAAGTCACCTGAAACTCCAGTCATACCTAAGACGCTCTTGTCAACTTATATTTTGGAGTCATTTTGTACCAAGTGCTGGGTGTAGCTAGGATTCTTCCCAACAGCACCGTCTTGTCTACAAGACTAAATCCAACCTCTTCAAGGTGGTGTGTAAGGCTATTCACAGTCTGACTCTCCCCAGCCTCGTCTTCCCCCACTTTCCCCAACTTGACCCTGAGCTTCAGCCATGGCAGACATTTCAAAATGCTCAGAAAACACCAGATTTCTTTAAGCCTCTGAGTCTTTATTCATACATCATCTATGTGGAGTGACCTCACTTTTACAGAGGTTGAATTTGCCTTACTCAGGCGAGGCATTTCCTCCTCTCTAAACGCATTAGTATCCTGTCCTATCTCCAGTTAACAGCACTTAACACACTGTGTATAGTAGTTTATTGTCTTTGACTCTTCAGTGAGAATTGGTGCTTATCTTTGTTTTCTCAGCATGTAACCGTGGCTGCCATAATGACTTTTTGGAAGAAGGGCAGGTAGGGAAACAAGAAAAATGTTTTTCATTTCATGGTCTCACCAGAATCAAAGTATCAAATCTTTATTGGAGAATGGCTGAAACCCTTGACCCAGTTCGGTAGGCCCCACTGTTTCTCAATGAGTATCTTCTGGAGCCTGGAGTGAAGTCTATATTTTAATAAGTATTCACCAAGATTTTTATAATCGGGAAAGTTTGAGGAGCCAACGCCCTACGTTATTTCCATAGCAAATTGAAAATTCAGCCCTATATTTCCAACTCAACAAATATCTAGTATGGACAAGTATTTTACCATTGTTGCTACAGAGAATTCTGTATGATGAATTTAATTTTCATTTACAGTTGCTTAATGAATTTAGTAGGAAATATGGGAGTTGGTTAAGTATTCGTGTAGACCTTAACCTTGGCTACTAAACACGTTATGGAGAGAAGGCAGTGGCGCTTTTAAATTTATGATACTTCACCCAGGAAAGGAGATTAGGGTGGTAAAGTGTCCGGATGCTTCTCTATGAAGAATCAATAAAAAAGCCTCACGTGTCCTGAAGAGAATGAAATGCCCTTGAATCGAAAAGACTGCTGCTTGCACACCAGTCCTCCCACCACAGCCACCAGTTTGCCATAATTTGTTCAAACAATGCTTCTTGAAGCACAGTTTATCTTCAAGAATCTCATTATGGACTTGAAGTCTTACCATGGAAAAGCCATTCCTTCGGGTTCAATAGCACTTTCTCCAGAAGTTCATTATTAAGAAACACACATGTGAGAAGGAAAACACAGCCTTTGTCCACTGCTAAGACCTTAGTGAGAATGAACTTATCACAGTTCTGACAGGGTTGGCCAAAGGCTCATAAAGATAAGTGTTTTGTAGAGAAGAAGAGCTCAGCGGGGGGCCTGAGGCTGCGCTGGGAGCAAGCCGTGGGAGTTCCCGCCCTCCGAGAGGACGACCGCCATTTGATCAACTCGTGCCTTCATCGCGTCTCTGTGCTAGTCACATGCCTGCAGAGAGAAGACAATGAAATTCAGGACAGTCTCTCCTCTTACGAGATGCAACAACAGTGAAAATAAAGCAAGTTTTCGTGCCACACATGCTCACTTCTATGTAATGTTCCCCACAGGAGTTCCAGTCTGGAGTTGGACCTCGGCTGGAATTTTTATAGCTCTGCCTCTTAGTGGTAATCTGTATGACCTTAAGAAACTTACTAAAGCCTCTTTAAACCTGATTTGTTCTTGGTAAAATTAGAGCAATAAGGGTAACTAATTCCTAAACTTTCCATAGGGATTAAGAAGGACAAAGCAAAGAAAGTACTTATCCTGGTGGCCGGCACATAATAACCACTCAATAAACTTCAGTTTTTATTGTGGCATTCAGTAAGATGCTGCACCGCATGAGTGCTTACGATAAATATTCTGTAGATGTTTGTGTGAGTGCGGTCGGGGTTGGGAAGGTACATGCAGTCAGAAAATTCTCCTAGAAGAAATGACATTTGATGGGAACCTTCCTATGAGGGTTAACTGGTAGAGGAGGGAAGTTAGAGAGGAAAGTGGAAGGCACTTCAGCCTGGAAGAAAAAGTAAAAGCAAAGGAGAAACTCCAGAAAAATAGTGATCAT